GCGTGTGTCCACCTGTCCGAAGAAAATTTGCTGTTTTAACCCTAAATGTGCGTAATTAAAAAAAAAAAAGTACAGGATATTACATGTAAATTATGGAATAACACACATTTAGGGACTTGCCAGTGTCAGTACATTGGTCGCAGCAATGACAAACGCAGATGCCAGTTCTATGTGTCGTTATCAATAACCCTCCGTAGATCTAGATCTAGACAGCACACGAGTGAACACAACACATTACGTTTAAGAGCTGCACCCTTCATAGGCAACATGTCATATCTGTAGCGAAAAACTGTTCGGAGTTGTAGCATTTCTTTATATAAATATTTACTGCGGACATTTTTTGGACCGATTGAACCACATTGTAAACTAACAATTTTTGGTAAGCCTATACTATAATTATAGATCTTTATAATATCCGAAATTTGCGGGAAAGGATGAGATTTCAGAGTGTTCGGAGAAATAATGCCCAGCTTTATTTTCCCGAACGTTCGGAGAAATAGTGCCTAGCTTTATTTTCCCGAACGTTAGGAGAAATAGTGCCCAGCTTTATTTCCCAAACGTTCGGAAAAATAGTGTCCAGCTTTATTTTCCCGAATGTTCGGAGAAATAGGTTTGACTACAAGCGCAGACGTGCTGTCACTTCGGCCATCAGAACTTCCGATAACGATGTGCAGATTAAGCTTGATATTTTACAAACGGCGACACGGCGTTTTATTTAGCAGTACTGGCACTAATGGCAACGCAGCGTTTTATTTAGCACTGACGCTAATCGCAACGCGGCGTTGCAAATAGGCACTTCCTTTTTGTAAATCCTGAAGCATCACGTCAAGCACTCCTAGTCCAAGTGTCTTTACCCCCCCCCCCCCCCCACAAATAAGGGCGCTTTTTCGGTAGTTCCCACCCCGCAATTGTTCACGGGTTTTGGCCCCAAGAGTAGGGGGGTTTCAGGGGGGCTTGCCCCCCTGACCTAACAAAAATAGGAAGGGGGGTTTCGGGGGGGCATGCCCCCCTGAATTTTACCACAATTTAATGTTTTGCTGTTGTTAGGTTTGATATCTTAGCTCACCGCGAATCAAACGTATAGATCTAGATCTAGAAGTAGGTCAGGCTCAAATAAGGGGGGTGGGAACTACAGAAAAAGCACCCAAATAAGTCCCGAAATACATGAACTTAGCCTTTAGGCTTTTTAGGTTGACCCCGTCAACAGACGGTCCCCGGACACGCAGAACTCACACGGCGATGTCATGTCACGTACTGCGAAGGTGCGATTGAAACAATTTTACTAACGGGTCTGACTAACTGCGCGTTCACACCGAACACTCGGATGGCCAACGACCAAATACTAACAAATCTCTTAATTTATCCCTCATAATCATCGATGATAATGCGTTCAGACTAAAAGCAACGACAACGCACGTATTGTCTATTGTGACGTATGTTAGTCTTGTCAGCGCAGTTATTCTTTATTGGCAATCGCCATTTGGGATTTATGAATTCTAAACATCAAGTTAATCTTAAATACGAGAAAATTCACTAATCAATAATAATAATAATATCTCTTACAACTGAACTCTGCTATCCAGCAAGCACGACTGACTTTTTCGGATTTACCCTCCGATGTCTCGTCTTGAGTCAGTGCAGTGTTGATTGTTGATAGTTTTGGTATAAAAATAGATCTGGCAGCCTCGACCCCAAGGGAGATCACTCTGTTTTGAAATTGTAACAACACTGTCTTGCGCACTCTCACACACAACAGGCCGCAACCGGGATTTTTTTTGGTCTTTCCGTCACATCTGTTTATATAAGAAGGTAAGCCTAGACTCTAGGCCTATATCTAGATCTAATGCCAGCGCACCATTTGTTCTCTATCTAGTGTTATGAAAACGGAAAAAATAGTTTAAATAATGAAAGTTAACTGATAGATCTAGAATCTAGATCTAGAATCTAGTTCAGCTTGTAGGATGGCCACTCAAGTACGAGTAATTACAAATTATTGACACCGGCGGCACCGGCATTACTGACGATTTTCGGAGTTAGGTAGAATCTAGGCCCGCATTGTCTACTAGATTCAAGATCTAGACTAGATCTAGACTAGTCTAGACAAAAGGACTTATTGTTTCGTTCAGTGTGATAACGGTGACCCCTTACGATGCCTTGCTTTTGTAGATGACAAATGAACTAGACTCTCTATAGATCTAGATTCTAGATCTAGATCTAGTGACCTTTGCCTTTGACTTGTCAAAATGCAACAGAACTGGGTAAAAGTAATGAGTGACTTTGATTGTTGCGTTTTGGTACTTGGCATATTCCCCCCCCCCCCCCCCCCCACGAGTTTACAGACAGAAATCTCATATTCATGAAACTGTATTTTAATGTTTCTCCACTTTTGAAAACATGACCTGCATATTTTTTTGTATGCTGCTTAATTTAGCCGCTTTTAATAAAAAATGTTGTGATTTAATTAAATTTTAACACTGAATACTGAGATATGATGCAATTTTAATTGGCATTGATCAAGTTGAAATTGCTGTAGTTATCGTTATATATATATATTGTATCCCATCAGGGCCCGACATTGTGTCCTTGGGAAACACGTGACACTGTGTAGGCTACATGAATTTTAGAAAAGTGCAAATTTATAGGGCCTACCATGAGCTAGACATACTGAGGGGGCTCTTGTGGCCTAGAGGTTAAGGTGTTCACCTCTCATTCAAAGGTCAGGGGTTTGAATACGGGTAGCGACCGAAAAGATTTTCTTCGCTAAAATCTCGGCGCTTTTTCGGTAGTTCCCACCCCGCAATTTTAGGTGTTTTTTCGGTAGTTCCCACCCCTTTTATTTGAGCCTGACCTACATCTAGATCTATACGTTTGATTTGCTGCAAGCTAAGATATCAAAGCTAACAACTGCAAAACATTAAATTGTGGTAAAATAGAGGGGGGCATGCCCCCCTGAAACCCCCCACCATATTTTTATAAGGTCAGGGGGGGCAAGCCCCCCTGAAACCCCCCTTTTCTTGGGGCCAAAAACAGCTATAACAATTGCGGGGTGGGAACTACCGAAAAAGCGCCAAAATCTCTCCTTTCACCTCCTTTCCTGCTCTCTATTAGTGATGATGTTCTGTCATCTGCTTTCGTCTCCACTTACTGCCCCCACTCCCTTCACCTCCCTTGCCCCCTCCTCTAGGCTTCTGACTCTGCAGCCTTTCTGATTCTACTGCTACTCCTTGGATCCTTTTTACTGTGCTATCTTTCAGCCACACCCCTGATCATATGGTAGGAAAGATCTACTCCTAGCCTTCTTGATCTTGGACAAGGGCGAAAAAATCTCAGAGGTCCCGTGTGCAAGTTGCGCTGTAAAAAGATCCCTGGTGATCTAAAATCGATAAGAGTAGGTTTCAGCCACCACCCTGGCAAAATTCAAAATTTCCAACCACCTGAAAATGTTTTATGTGTCCCACCTGCTCATATATATGACAATATGCAGTTGCGAGCGCCGTAAAACACTTACCAAAAAAAAAGACATACTGTGACCTTTTCGGTGGGAGCTAGCTATGCCAGTGATCAATGACTAATTCATGATAATCTTTTCATAAAGGTTGAAAGACAAGATGAGAGGTCTTCAAAATTGCTACAGATTTCTCATTAGCAGAAGGAGCTACAGCAGCCAAACATGGGACTCTCTTGCAACATCCCAACAGGTTACCTTGCCACTTAATTTCCTCCATGGAAGACGAGTTGATGCTCGGGGAAACACTTCCTTCAAGCTCATAGCTCCTGCCACAGGTTTGTCAAACTTAATTCTGTGTACGTGTGCCTGAACAAAAATTAGAGGTTCACATAAATTTTTGATGGTTGTCACAGCATTCTTTTAGCACACGCTTTCCCTCTCACAGAGATGTGTACTCTTACACATACACAAGGGAAACAGAGGTTAAAATGTTGTCATTCCAGCTATTGAAAAGTTATTTCTCTTGTTTTTAATCTCTCTCTCTCTTTCTTCAAAGACAAAGAGATTCAATGGAGACTTTCTATTTTAAAAGTTATGCTTGAAACTTGAACACAATAATTTCCATTTGGAAGTATTTGATATTTATATGCAGTGTTATGCTGTTACAAATGGATCATACAAATGATCGCCAGGACCAGTCATATTTTCATGGACACTTGACACATGTAATAGATAGGTATACTTTGCCTTTATTATTGGGGTTTTTAAATACAAGTCACGTTTCTATTTTCCCATCTTTTCTCTCTGTGCAGGGCTGCCCCTGAGATCAGTTTCCAACTCAAATGACGACGATGTTCAAGAGGCAGTGCAAGTGGCCAGGAACTCCTTCAGGACCTGGTCAAAGATGTCAGGATTTGAACGAGGTCAAGTGCTGAAAAGAGCAGCAGACATATGCAGGGTAATCTTTTGTTCTATGTTTTAAGTATTCAGAGGTGTCCGGATCAGAATATTCCTTTCTTTTTTTAGTGTATTTCTTTTTAAAAACATCATTGTATTGTTGAAATATTATGTGTCCTCGGATTGAGTTCCATCCGTCAGAGGTAACCATGAAACATGATGATGCCAACAAATGCCATAATAACAAGGTTTCAGTGTTTACTCTGCATGTAAAAAAACATGAGAATGGTCTTTTGGAGCTGTTTTGGTCAAATGATGATTTTTGTTTTCGTGTTCGCTAGTGTCAGGATTCTTTCATAGCAAGGAACCCTATTCAGTTTGGAAGCTGTAGGCTTTCACAAGACAGTTAAAAGTAAAATAATGCAGAATAGTCCCATATGGGTTTTGGGGACTTCAAGTAAATACTCCTCTTTTGTTTTGCATGTGTAAAAAATGTTAGTTCTGTTTTTATGCTAATATTCAATGTGCTTTTGAGGTTGAGCAGTTGTTTGTTAATTACTATCAAAGTTGTTTAGTTCTTTTGTTTTTGCGAATATAACAGTCCAGAATGTACTACTTTATTTCATCCCAGAAAAGGGTGGAAGAGCTTGCCCGTACTGAAGTGTTGGATACTGGAAAGCCAATCTGGGAGGCTCGCTATGACATTGAAGGGTGTGCAGACACAATCGAGTACTACGGAGGTTTAGCTGCTGCTATTGCAGGTGACCAGACATCTGTTTCTCTTTGATGGCATTGTTTTCCTCCTCAGTGCAAATGGGGGGGGGGGGGGTGTCTAAAGTGTATGAGGCAAATTCTTGTCTTAAAAGGAGTTCAAATGTGAAAATGATGTTAAGTTTTAAAGTTAGATCGTGGCAGTGTCTGCTTTAGTGACAGACAGTTTAAGGATAATGTTATTTACTTAACACTTTGCCATCACATTTGGGGGAAAATCCAAAGAAATTGGGAGGTAAACATAGCCGATCGGCGAGATGAGGCGGAAAAGTGTTAAGTTTTCTCTGAGTCAGTGACACCCGAGTGCTACGTTTACATTTTGGGATCTGCCAGTTGGAAGCATAAATCTAACAATTTTTACAAAGACTAACATTCAAGGGGACTTTTTTGTAATCTGCAACAGGTGACTTCCTACAGCTTTCGGGCGGCAGCTTCGCTTACACAGTGCGGGAGCCACTCGGAGTTGTAGGGGGAATTGGGGCTTGGAACTATCCCTTCCAGATGGCGGCCTGGAAGTCTTCGCCTGCCCTGGCATGTGGCAACACCATCGTGTTCAAGCCATCCCAATTCACCCCACTCACAGCGGTCATGTTGGGGGAAATCTATCAAGAGGCGGGGTTGCCTGATGGCTGTTACAATGTTGTGCAGGTAGTTTTTTCATAGCTCCATTCTTAACTATGCATAACTATTACAAGATGGTATTTTTGGTTAATTTTTTGTACCGTTGGATCTATTTTTTCATCGCACCAAAAAATGTTGCTGCTGTGCTATTTGTTTTGTTTATCATATGAATTCTTGGTGGAGTGGGGGGATATAGTATAGATAGTCTTCTGTCTGACCAAGAGGCAAAGTATTTGCACCTCAGCCTCCAGGGTATGGTGAGGAGTTGGCGTTTTTCTCTTCATGTCTTCTTTTCAGCCCTGTTTCACGCCAGTCTGTAGTCTCCACGGAGCAATTAAAAAGTCATGAGCTGCAAGTGCTGGCTTTGGATATGCTGTGGTTTTTGAAAAATCATATGTGCCAGTAACATTTTTTATCATCTAACTTGAATACATCTATTTTTGAGTTTTACTCTCTCTCTCTCTTTATGAAACATTCTGTGTTCTTCAACAATCCCTTCTCTGTGTTGTTCTCAGGGAGAGGGAGCCACTGGTCAGATTCTCACATCGCACCCGGGTATTGACAAGGTCACATTCACAGGCAGCGTAGCCACTGGCAGTCGCATTATGGCCACCTGTGCCAAGGTAACTGCACATTGTACAAGCGATGCATTTGCTTACGGAGATTTCTTTTCTGATTCAGATCTTTCATTTTATGATTTTCTTTAATTATATTTTATGCGTGTAGGTAGGCCTAATGTAAACACGGCACGTAAGCCACTTCACAACCTTCTTAGTGTGTGATTTTGGTGGAAATTGGGGTAATTCAGATCGTTGTTTCTTTGCTCTGTCACTATAAAACACCAAATGCTGTACAGGCTATTCCATACTGATTTGCATTGATCTCAGTCTTGAAAAAAATTAGGCTCCATACCTATGTTAAAGTGATTGTACTCTGTTAATGTGTAGATGTTAGGTGCACTTGGTATTGTTTTATTACCTGCCAAACATTGCAGACATGTAATGAATTTTGCAATATTTGATCATATTTAAGCTGTTGCCATTCTCGTAAAACTTGACTGAGAGATTAAACAATAGCACCAAAAATCTCAGCAGACACAGGCTTTTCATATAAAACAGACAAATTTGGCATACAGCTACTTTGAAAATTTAGTTTCCGGTAGCTAGCATATATATATATATATATGTTCTGAAGTATATTACTTTTGAATACAGTCCAGCAGTTTAGGAAGTGGGTGTGACAAGCTTTATACAGTCAAACCATCTGTAACAGCCTTGACAAACACTTGTACAAACGACCTCTTCCCACTTCGCCCCCTTGCGTTTTTTGGTAATATTATAATGGCAGTCCAAGATGTCTACATGTCTAAGACAATCATTTTCCTCCTCGACAAAAGATTGCTGTCTTGGATAATTTTCACTGTACTAACTTGTTCATTATTGTAATTTTTTTTGTTTTAGAAAAGGCAGTGGGGGGAGGCAGATTAAGGTAGGGTAATTGTCTCATACTGTTGAGTTCACAATGATGCAAAATCTGAGATTTATTTGGTGTTCTTTTTGTCTTTCGTTGTCCCCACCAGGATGTGAAACATGTCACATTAGAGCTTGGTGGAAAGTCTCCATTGATCATTTTTGCTGACGCCCACCTTGAAAATGCTGTAAAAGGTGCAATGTTGGCCAACTTTAGTAACCAGGGACAGGTGAGTTGTTTTGTTCTCTTGTGGAAATTGATGTCTTATGCAAAACAGTAGTCATTCAGTAATTTCCACATACTTCAGTTCTTTTACTGTTTTGTGGTTACAGGGTTCGCATGCTTAGATTAAGGTTTGAGCTTGGTCTATTCTGGCTTGTCCAGTTCTCTTTATCATGAATGCTGCTTTATGATCGTCTGTCAAGATGCAAAAGCCTATAGCAGAAGTAGACTTCATACTACTTGGTCGACAGCTTTCCTGTTTCCTCAGTGAAATTGTTACGCCGAGGAATTTTATGTCACCAGCATTCTCATTAAGCTTAGAGCATCAGCCTTCCTATTCTCAACATTTACCTGTAATTTTTTGTAATGACTGTGGGAGTGGAACTTTTACGCTATCCATAACGGGACAATCGATGTAAACAGAATTTTATTGTTTGCATATTTTTTCACTGTTCGATCAGGTATGCTCCAACGGCACCCGTGTGTTTGTGGAAGAGAGCATAGCAGAAGAGTTTCTGTCTATGTTGAAAACTAGAGTTTCCAAGATGAAAATTGGCGACCCCATGCTAGAGGATACCACTGTGGGAGCATCTATCAGTGAGGAGCAAGCGAAGATAGTCTTAGGGTATATCGATATTGCCAAGAAAGAGGTGAGTTCAGTTTTAGATTTGAACTCGAAAATATGTTCAGTTACAAACATTTAATTTGAGAACAAAATTTCAGATTAGAACTGCATGGTGATATCTTTTATTTGAATTCTCTGTTGATGAAGGAAAATGTATTTTAGTTTTTGTTCCATGCGCTCTTCATTTAGGTACCAGAAACTAAATTTTCAAACTAGCTGTATGCCAAATTTATCTTTTCCATTTGAAAGGCCTATATCCACTGAGCATTTTGGTACCATTCTTTAACATCTCCGTCAATTTTTAAGAAAATTGTAGTTGTTTAAAATTTGATCAAATTTGTTAAAGTCAGTCACTGGCTGCAACCCCTTGTTTGACAGACAATAAAAGAGTACCAAGCCCACTAAACATCTCCACATTAACAGAGTACAATCACTATCGCAAATATATGGAGCATAATTTTTTTCAAGACTGTGAGATCTTTACAAATCAGTACTTTATCACCTCAAACACGATATCTGTCGTTATTTCGACAAAAACACCGAGCGTTGACCCGGCCGGCGTCGCACCGGCCCCCGCGGCGAGCGAGTTGGCTCTATACTGTAGTGTACCCCGCGTGCGGGGTCACATGCTTTCTGAGTCTCGCGGAAGGATTGATGTAAAATAATTCCAATTTAATTACTTTATTCTAATAGGAAATGAACTGATCTTTTAATTAATTATTTTTAGAAGCCGGTATTTTATATATTTTGTGTAAAAACTGATCTTTAAACATTTTGACGGTATTTTTAAAAGCTTTCTATAAAGACGCCAAAGGCTAAACTTATATCACGAAAAAGCCCGTTTAAAGCTCTACAGTTCTCCGCCAATGAAAAGACGGTATTTAATCATACCTCGTTCCGCGAAGCATTTGAATGCACGCGTGTCAATTTTTCAACCGGCCGACCTCGCATTCTGACTGCGAGGGGCTTCGCTTTCGTCGGCGATTCTCCAGCTCCTAATAATTGGACATATAAACAACTTACACCATTGTAACGAGGAAAAGCTGAACTTTTACAAGGTGTACGGCATTTGGTGTTTTATAGCGAAAGAGCAAAGAAACAGCGATCGGAATTAACCCGATTTTACCGATACTACGCGGTCGGAAGGCCGCGAGTGCCCGCGAGGCCGTGTTTACGCTACCTACTTCATTTTATTTTTTTCAGCTGTAGTTATCACATTTGCCATTGGAGACCGTAATACAGTAGTCTCCGCCTAAACGCATGGTGCTCGGGAGGGCTCCTTAGCGTGTGTTTTTACGGTGCCTGCGTTTACATGAACCCTTGCAAAGGGAGGAAGGGGCGCTGTCATCTCATTTCCTTATTACTCTAGTGACATCCCTTGGAGGGTGGGGGTCATTTTGGCCGATAATGTGACGACATGTGACTGTTTTGTGAAGGATTCCCTGACTGGGCTTTAGAATACAAAGGCGTCGGGAGGGTGCACTATGCACTATAAGATAGCCTAAGAGGAAACTGTTGGTGATAGTCATAGTAATAGAGACGACGTCCCAACCACATGGCTTTGCAAGTGATCACCCCCGACGGTAAATTCATGGACGACATCAGCATCATAGATCTCTACATTCAGAAAAACATTTCTTTTGCGATTCGTTGAAAAAGTACGTCTTAAGTTCTTCAAGTGCAGCTGATTAGGCTTACTTGGCTATAGAGGCCTGTCTAGTGTTTTACGCATGTCGCGCATCAGGCCTAGGTCTAACTTAACATTAAATGCCATCACCAAAACTCCAGTCAGAAACCTTCTCTCAAAGATACATTTCCAGTGACCAATCAAAAAACATTTCAGTCCCCCAATCCCCCCCCAACTTTTCACCAACAAGTTCTAGACTTATGTTTCTATGGAAAGTTGGGTGTGAAAATGCTGCCCATCACTCTCTTTGTTCGGCGTGAGGGGCACGCTCACCATATATCCCGTTTTCTATGCTTGTCTCATGCAGGCTCTGCAGGTTGCAATGAAAATTTCTCCTTGTCAAGCTTAACCCGTCAGCTTGTTTCATGGATCAGACCGTGCATTTAGAGAGAGTGACCGTGCGTTTGTACATCTAAATTATAAAGGAAAAAATGCGTCAGATGACAAAAGCACGCGTTTGAGCCGAGCGGGCTTTTGTATGGCGTGCGTGCATTTAGGCGGAGACTACTGTAATGATATGAGCAGAAACTTACTCTACTGTTTTGCTGCCTGTGCCTTGCAGTTGAGTTGTAACTGTTTTATTCTTTATATTGAAATTCTGAAAGACCCATTGCTTTTTATGTCATTTTGCTGGTACAATATTGACAAACTGCTCTTATTCTCCTGATAGTTGTGCAGATGTTAATATGAATCTATTTAGAGAAAATATCTGGAATTTTTTTCGCAGTGTTATCATTGTTTGCTTTGCTATATTTACACAAAAGCAACATCAATAGTGATCATTTTTTGTTTTGGACAGGGCGCTACAATCGCTTACGGTGGTGAGAGAATCAAACCTGACGATTCCCGCCTGGCCAAGGGCTACTACCTGAGCCCCTGCATCGTGACAGGCTGTGAGGACGACATGACGGTGGTCAAAGAGGAAGTGTTTGGTGCTGTCATGTCCATGCTGACGTTCAAGTCGGAGGAGGAGGTGATCAAGAGAGCCAACAACACAGAGTTTGGTCTGGCTGGGGGAGTGTTCACCAGGTAAGGACATGCAGACAAGCATTTGTTAGAACGTTGGAAAATTAAACCAGTGGCAAAATGACATTTCGAGATTCTCAGGTCCGTTTTCACATTTTATAAAGGAACTGGAATTATTGCACATCATGACAATGTTATTTGAGAATATGACAGAATTATCTCTGGCTGATAAAATTTAAGTGCGTTTCTTTTTAACTTCACTCTCTCCAAGAGTTGAAGTTTCTACCGAGGAGTGTCTGCACTATTTTGTAGTTGTAGTAAGAATGATCTTTTCTTTATATCCAGGAAGGCCCAGAACAACACACTTAGGGAACCTAAACAAATGGGTAACAGGGAAAGATCAGGGAAACGTAGCTTTTTTTAGAGCATCCGAGCAAAGGAATGAATGGAAAACCATGATCGCCGATGTCTGTCGCAGATCTGGCTCTGGATGATGATGATGATGATGTAACTACCCAATGATCAGCAATGATGTGGATGTAGTTTGTAGTTTGTATTTGTTATATTTGCCTTGTATGATACTTTGATAGTGTGGTAAATATATTTGTATATTTGTACACTTGTATGTTATGTGTTACATGGAGCTCCTTCCATTGATGGTGGTGATGGGAATGGATGACAGATGATGGAAACCAAATTACCAATGTGATAAATATAATTATTACTTCTTTGTTCTTTATTTCCTTCCTCAGAGACTTACAGCGGGCTCACCGGGTGGTCTCCCAGATGGAGGCAGGCTCTATCTATGTCAATAACTACAATGTCTACCCAGTGGGTGTGCCCTTTGGTGGCTACAAAAAGTCTGGTATTGGCCGGGAGAACGGGGCCGATGCTCTCAACTATTACAGTCAGATCAAGTCCGTGTATATGGAGGCGAACGATGTTGACTGCCCCTATTAAGTCTCTTTGTGAAAGGGAAATATGAAGAAGTTCTTGGACCTGGAAAAGGGGAACTGGCTGGTTGTGCAAGAACTCTTTATTCTAAAGCTTTGTTTACCAATGGTCTAATGCCACTGTATCTCTTTGAACCGTGGGTCTATGAATCATTGGGCATTTATATACTGTTGTGAGCTGGATAAAAGCATTTTATGAAGAGTGTATGTTTTTGTTTTCTCAGGGACTCTGTGTTCGAAAGTTGAGAGAAATTTATATCCATTGAGTGAATGCCTGTGGAAGAATGTTTTCCCTAGCTTCTTTTGTTTTGTTTTTTCCCAAGATAGAAATGTTTCTCTTTTTGTGGCATGATACTTACAATCAACAAATGTAAAAGAGTAGTGTTTCGCAAAGAGGAAATTTTCATACTTTTGGCAGTCGTGGACTAAAACATTTCTTCCCCACCAAAATCGCGAATTAGTGGGAGTGATTCGTTTCACTCATCAGCAACCATATTTTCATTGCATGTCACTGGTGAGCAGAGATTATACATCACTCAAGTTGCCTACAAGCTTTGTGCCTACTCTCTGCTATGTGCTATTATTGATAGTTCTGAGGGCCTTGTGGATACTAGCACTGTACTACACCTTGGATCTTTTAACTGTGCACAACTGACTAGATATGTCTACATATATATATAAAACACGTTACTGTTAATTTAAAAGAAAATTGTTCGCGAGTCACTTTTACCCGCACCAGTGGCCTTGCTGTGAAATTTATTTGTCTAGGCCTTGAAATTATCTTCTTTTGAATTTTGAAAATCTTTTTTTCCGTGGACATTCTCCTCCTCGCGAAAAAATACTCTCTTACAGTATTTGAATGTACACGCTTATGCATTGCTCATTACCGACCTTTCTTTATAGTTTTAAAAAAATGGATTTATTATATTAAGTCCTGTATGTTCCCTCTGGGGAGAGGTTACATAACTTGGTTATAGCTCTCTTGGCTGCCAGATCATTCCAGTTTACAGTCTCCATCCTTCATTAACTGTTAGGTGAAGGGGATGTAATTATTCTTTTCCTACACGCTCTTTGTTACACATGTTGTCTTTGAAATTGATAGCAGTGTAAACTTCTTCCTCCTCTGACTTGAATATATATTAGTTTCATAAAAGAATAAAATGAATAATTAATTATGCTTGAGATGAGATGACGCATATGTTCCCTAAACAACACGAACAGATTTTTCTGTGTGAGCATAATGATCACGGTGCTGTGTGTTTAAGATATTTTAAATCTTAAAATGTGGAAATTTTCAAGAGTTTAGAGTCTGAACATTATGACTGTTGGAACCATGTCTGTTCATTTTTTGAAAAAACATTTCATTGAAAAGAGTGAAAGAGGTATTTTTGTAATGCCTATTGAACCCGGTATGTTGTTATTTTTTCACTCGCTGGACGGGACTGACATATGATAAACAATGCACTGTAGTTTAACCCTTACAGTCCTGGGCTGTTTTTTGGCTTCACTTCCCTCTGGCCCAGGTAATACTGGAGTCCACGACTCTTCACGCCCAGCCAATACTGATTGTATCTGTAATTTTTTCCAGACATTAAAAAATAGTTCTATACTCCTTTTAAAAAAAGAGTTTTAGCAGTTAATGCGTAGAATATTTTTCAAACACAATTGAATAGATTACAGTAAAATTAGGCAATTGGATTTGAGGTGGGTGGTGACCTGTGAGGGAAATGTATGCCACTTGGCCTGGGGAAATGAGGACTCGTGGTGAAATAACGCGACTGGGGCTGTAAGGGTTAACAGTTCATTTTCTTGTTTTTGATTTATTCTCCCCAAAGATTTCAAGATGATGTGAGTGAAAATTTCCCTACAAAATGTTTTCAGGTACTGACTACTTGTTTTCTCCACCCTCTTTGTTTCATTTTCCATTGTGTTCCGACTAGTATTTTATTTAGCTGATATTCTGTGATAATTTTATTTTATATGCTTTAACGCACAAATCCTGTATTGAGATATAGCGTAGAGCACATGTGTGTTAAATGTAAAAACTTATGTGCCAGTAGGATTTACATAACCACAATGGTTTTAGTAGATTTGTTTTAAAATGTTCATTTGGTTTTCTTTTTATCTTTATGATCTCCAGGCCCATCATTACTCTGACGGGTAGGAGTTCATAATCGGAAATATTTTCTTTTCCATAAATAAGTTACTCATACAGGTGGAAAAGAGAAAACTGTAGACCAAGAAATCCACAGTGAAGACTACTTAGGAGTATCAGTTTAATTGTCTCACAAGTCAAAGTTTGGGATCTTGCTTTGACATTACATTGCATTGCATAGAGTAGGGTGTCCTGCTTTGTTTTTTCCAGTTGTTATAGTGCACCACTGTACATTTGTATCTTAGACATTTGTCATTTTTTTTATTGTTCTTCAAAGGGATGGAATGTCTCACTTTGAGGAAATCAGTGTGTTGATATCATCATAATCAGACAAGGGAAATATCTGTACTACTTGTTGAATGCTTTTCCTGTGTGGGAAAATTTCAGATTTGACTGTCATGTGTTGTAGCAAGATGGTCTGTGAGTTCGCATTTTTTCTCAAAGAGATTTTCATTGCATGTGATGTTTCTCCAGCTGGAACCCGTGCTTGTGTATTTATTCAGTGATTATGAAAGCAATACTCCTGATCCTAAATGGATGGATAAAAACTGCTTGTTTAATTCAATGCATATGTACCTATTCAGGAGTGTTCATGTCATGCAATTGAATTTTTTAAATTTTTTTTACTACTTTTGCACTACTATATTTTAATTTCAAGAACTTACTCATGGAAGATTATTTTATCATCTGAAATGTCAGTATCTTTGGACCAAATCAGTTGCAGCTCAAAATTATAGACTGAACGTTTGTCATTGATTATCTGGAAAAATTCTCGTTCTTGGGATTTGGGTCACTGTGAGCAGGTAGGGTAGTTGCTCTACAAACCAGCACTGGACATGCTTTTTCATTAAAATTTTGGTCATACACAGATAAATTGACAAGGAAAATGTAATCAGAATTGTAGACAAGAGCACATTTCCCGGAGGGTTGTTGGCCCAAAAAAAAGGTGTCATACTTCATTTGCAGGAATCAGAATGCAGCATGTTGGAACAGAGTCGAAAACGTGCTGATTGTAATAAAATAAAATTGATATCGTCTTTGAGAAGAGCATTTAGCTTACCGTTTTTTAATAAAAATCTTTACAGAGTTGTAAGAATACCTCTTTATACTATAGCCAGTTTCACAGTATATATTTGAGATGATACGAAATACGTTGAAACTGTTTGATCGATAATTTAAGCTTTATAAAGAGTTATTGTTTTTTTACAGCAATCAGACAGACTTGCGCTTAGAATTCAAGAACCAAAGTTAAATATTAATAACTCATGAATACTCTTGGTTACCAAATGTTGAGTGTCTGAATTAGCATTTCCACCTTAGAATGAAGATATTGTATTCTCCAATGCCAAAAAGACTTGAAAAATGCTGCCAAGTGGGCAGGAGACCTTTGTCAATATGTCCTAAGTCTCTGTAAATGTTGTACTATACTGGGACTATATATAATATTGCCTATTGGTGACACTGTCACCTGATTTACACTTTCCTAAGATCTGTGTTCAAAGGATTCTGGTACATACTTCAGAAAAATGAAGTAAGATCTAATCAGATAAACTTTGGACAAAATAAAAATGTTTAAAAGTTGAAATGTGTCAGAAGTCACTTTATCTTTATTCAACATGTGCTTGTTCCCATATTTATCCTTTGAAGGTTTTGATGTACACAGGTTCTTTCCCCTGCCCTAATGAAGATGCTTTGTTGTTCTTGTTTTAATGCCGAAACATTAAACAGAAATCTGCATAAAGAAAGCTCCACGAACCTGAATAATAGTGCAATGTGACTTTTGAGTCATGACAAATCAACTCTCACACAAGCTGTCCCTGCAGGCATGTTCTTGGTCCTTACTGGCTTTTCTTTTTAGGCTCTCAATTCTATCACTGTCCCCGACACAGGGTTCCCACTCAATCAGGAAAAAGCTGGAAATTTCATTTTAAGATTTCCCAGTCGAGAAAACACCATGAAAATGAATGATAACGGAACTAAAAGGGAGAAAGCAGGGAAATCAGAAGTCTTTCCATTATTACAAATTAGGAGGAATCATTTCAGCGTTTTTGTTGTTTTTAAATTTTCAATTTTACGAACATTGGATCGAAACTCTCGAGATTCCGAATTTTGAAAATTAATGTGCATTTGGCTACCCCAACCCATCTCCACCTTCCCGGCTTATAAGAAAGAAAAAACAATCAGATCTCTACAGTCTATTGCACCATGTAAGGTGCAGCTAGCTGTCTATCTTCAAATAGAGCTCTTGTTGTCGCTCAGTGCCACTTCACTCTTTAAAAGAATATAAGTCGTGCCATAGCCAGGAGTGAGTGTTACGGTTGACAGCCCAGGCCAAAGAGAATTTTTTTTTTTTAATGGATCATATTTAAAACTTGAAACAATCAGCTGCAGTACACAACATCCCATTGGTTTCTCATGTTTTTGCAAGACTCAATCAAACCAACAGTCAATAACTAACATCCCCCCCCTCTCTTTTTTCCTAACTAGGCAAAGACAGCCTGCCGAGACCTCTTTCATCTTGCCTTTGTTTACTTGTTTCGCTTGATTTTCACAGCATGAGGACAAATGGAAAAACTGACTGTTGATTTCAGCTTAATTAAAAAAAACAAAAAAATGTGAGGATGGCTGAAGTCCAAAAACTGTCCAGTTTTAACTGTATATTTTCAACAGTCAAGTTTTCAACTGTACCCCCTTATTTCCTTCACTTGCAACTATGAGGCAAACTAACAATGCTCTAAATACCCAACATAAAAAACCATTAGGGCTATAACACAAAAAAGAATGAAACACAAACATTTCGTTAAAAAGTCGTTAAATCATTTAATGATGATAGTAAGTTGATGAGAATGGCACATTAACCAAAACATTCGTACACTCTCACACCCGTAACATGAGGATTATAGTCAACCCCAGGGCAAGATGGCAGGAGTCCACAAGATGATTTAAATGCTAGTGCTACGTTATACATGTACCTAATTTAACAGCATGTCAGAAGCATTTACTTCACTCTTACTCTAACAAATAGCTATGTGGCCTAATGCATTAACCTGAATATTCACATCTAAAAAATACCAAGATCAGAACTTAAAATTGCAACCTACCCAGGCACTGATTTAGAAAACAAAAAATCCTAAAGGTCAGGTCAGTTCAATCAGAGCACAATCCCAACCAACAGGGGAAAAAAAAAGACTGATCGAATAGAACCAGCCACAGATTCAGCAAAAATAAACTCATCCATGCTGTGGTTTTCATAAAAATAATAATGTCATTGAGACAATACTGTATGGGTGGCTGGCAGGTGCTCTGGTGTGGTTTGCTCCATTTTTCCCATCAAACATCTATCGTCCTTATCTCTCCTTTTTTTTGTTACCCTCTTGTAACACATTTATTCTTCGGCACATTTATGACCTTATTGTGTTGAAAGTGCCGTGAAACTCTTACTGAAACTAAACTAAAGATAATACTATTGTCAGATGATAGATATAAAATCAAAGAGGCTAAGGGCAAGAACTGATTACCTGACACATTTCTAAAACAAAAACAATTCGGCCTTGAATTGTCTCATTGATGAGAGATTTGGCTAAAAACTCACTCGACAGCATTCAGCACTACAACCCTCTGATGCCCAACATTAATTTATCCCACTTTTTCTTAACTAAAACTGTTTCCCAAAACTGAACTAGACCAAGTCTAACAGGCATCAATTCAGAAATTTCAAGCCATATAAGCCTTTGACATTTGACAAATACTTAAAAATAATCAGACATTGGTCAAATGGACAGCCGCTCTTACCAGTGGTTACGAAAGATCCCCATAAAATATCTATGACTTTGAGAAATCCTATAGAAAAAACCCGGAAATTCAAGAGAATGTATGAACATCTTATTTATGCATAAACTGTGGAGCATATTGATGTACTGGAGAATGTGAATTGTAAAAAAAAGTATTTGTGAATCTGTGCCTACAAAAGGGCTTTTCCCCCTTACTCCCTTACTTCAGCACAGATTGTATAGACTTGAAACGGAAAAATCTCCTGAACTTCTGCAAAGAAATTATTGAAGTAAGATCAAAAAGCAGATTATAGTTAACGGGAATCTAAGAGTGAGGTAGACGTACAAGAATAATGAACCATTTATGAAAGATTTTCAATTTCAACAGAAGGAGCAGAATAATTTAACCCATTTTGATACAATTTTTTTTTCACAAAGTGTACAAGTACTCTTGTCCTTTCAAATGGACTCTTAAATTTCTGTGATAATTATAGACGTAGTACTATCATCATCATCAGGCCAGACAAAGCTTACCCTCCAGAAGTGGTCCTATTAATTACTACTGGGATGGGCCTGGACTATGTCTCTTTAAGGCACAACATTACGTCATTAGTATGGAAATGACTCATCTAAACACAACATTCTAAACTAAAAGAAAAATGAAAAGATTCCTGTAGTACTTGCACTCAAACAACAAAACAAAGCAGATAGTATAACGACGCTCTCACAAGGTAGCTACAATGTAATGCCATGGTGCTAATTGCAACACTTACACAAAAAATCTTTTCCATCAAAATTTCTATTTGAACAGATTATCATATTTATATGAAAATAGCAATGGGTATTTTAGAGCATACTTTTCCTCTCATCTCTGAAAAAAACTACTGGTGAAAAAGCACATGAAAACCTATGTTCACTGTGCAGAGCCCATAGTGGAAATAGTGATGAAAATGTTAGACCAAACATCTGACATAACTCCAAAAGCAAAGCAATGTTACAAGGAACATTGCGACGACAAAATACAAACTGGTATCAAATATCATCTCTCCTCTTACACTGCTGCAGAGTGGTGAAAAATTTAGATGGGATCTGACCATCTATTCTCAATGAAATTCAGGGTACCTATACACACCCAAAAACAACCCGTTTCTCCAAACAATACTTCCTTAATCCTAATTGCCCTATTGCTGATAAATGAAACTTGAAATGTTGTATGCATTACCCTAGACAATCCATGTCTCTGAGCAGCACTTCATTAATTGCACAGTACTACAGACTTAAAACATTTGCACAAAATTTGTTCAGAAAGCTTTTCAATTACCTAATCCATATCCTTTGCCAGAGATGACAGTGCATATTACATATTTGTTCACTTGTACAGAAAAAAAAGGTTGGAGTGAGTCATAAGCACAAAAGAAAAAAAAATGCAAAGACTTGGCCAGAGACAGATGCTCTCATCCTGAGCCTTTCAGACCAACAGCAAAAAAATTAAGATGCCCACAACAAATCACTTGTTCAGCTCGGCAAAAATAAAAACATCCAAACAAGTTCGTTCATTCTCATTCAGCATGACTGCACTTACTTATTTTACTGAGCTCTGAGAGCAAACAGTTGCGTTCACTTTGATTTTTTTGCTGCCCGTCAGGTGCACTTTGTCACAGCATTCGGTGTGACTAAACCTTCAAGATGAGAACTATTTATAACAGGCAAGGACATTGTAAAAGATAAGCAATGTGAAGACTGGATTTTCACAAACTACAGCACAGTGACAGAGTAGCAATTTATAGAAAGGGGAGTAAACTATGTGCAGCAGGCAGCAGACATGCATTGACTTTATAGAGTTTGACCTACAACTCTGCTATGGCTGGAGAGACTCCAAACACACTTTGACGCATATCCACTGCTTAGTGCAAGATTCTGCCATACACCATTTTGTTGAAAAGTGACATTTGAAAGAGTCTTACACTGGGCAGTCAATATGGTCTTTGCATACTCCTTATCTTCCTAACACAGCTCTTCTCTGTCCTAGACAATTGGTACACACAAATTCAGCATTTACCTTCGTTTATCCCATAATGCTTAACTAAATCTTCATAATTATTGATTTCACAAGCACTCCCACTACACTATTTTAATATGAAAATTTACCTGTCCATCTTGCAGGCTTAATAAACACTTTGAAACTCTTTTTTCACAGATCATCAGCAGAGTAATACAGCTGTTATGATGCTTCCCTGTAAACTACAACCAAACATTCGTACCTAAATGGCAACCCATCCCCTATCCACTATAATTAATAATACGGATAACCTTCCCTACAAATACATGTAATATCACAAAATCAGTGAGGGAAAATGATAGCAGGTGAGAGAAGTTGAGAAAGTCCCACTACAGGGACCTGATAAAAAAAACCCACAAGACAGAAGTTGCCTGATAAGAGAAGGTATAGGTCAGTCCAGGAGCTGATAAGCTGGGCTCAGGATGGCTGTACGGACTAGTTCCTTACACTAATTTACAGTGTGGGGAACCAATCTTGAAGGAACCTACAAAATGCCAATGGTTGGATAAAAAAGAACCAATGGTTTTCTGACAAATATAATAAAGCATTAGTTTAATTTTCCTGACCCTCATTTGCAGTGTCTGGAATGACAGACTGGCAAAAGCTAGTCAATAAAGCAAGCCAAAAGGCCATCTTCTCCCTGTAGGTAACCAGGGGGAATCATTAGCCTGTCAGGCAGGCACAGGCAAGCCACACGAGTGTCACACGATGTTCCCCTCTCGGACACCACTGGCCCATGTACAACACGTTTTGCCTGTCAGACGCCTGCCAAAGGGGAAACAAGGCCAGTCACAACAGAAATTTCTTACACGTGACTGGTGTACAGGATACTTCTTCCAGTAGAATTACATGCACATTATAAGCAATGGTGTACCTTTTGAATATGCTAAACCTTGTCTCTTACAACCTTGTGAGTATAGACGAAGAAATATAATCATACTGCATACAATCCATGCAGTTATTTTTACTTTATGAAATATTCCAGGCTAGGTCCCACTTGAAAACCCAGCTGAGTCTTGTTTATTTGGCCGTGTGTATATGACTAGAACACAACCATAGAGTCCCCTGCTCTTACTTAAAGCTGACAGAGAAAATATTCTGTTGAGAGATAATAAGGAACAGTGCCCTTTCATCAAGACTCCTCATTTACCACCCATCATGAGCAGTTTGTGCCTCATAGGATTTTAAAAAGTCACCTGTGCAAAGACCCAAACAATTAGAAAGATGGAAGCCAGATATGCGTTATGTGCAGCGTACAAAATGAAGTATTACAAAGCAGGAAAAAAAATATGTACATATTGTGCCACAGGCCTCCTTTCACACGCACACACAAGTTCAGATCTCATGGTTCCACCCAACATAGATCTATCCCTTCCTCTACTCTTTTTCCGACATGTCTACAGTAGACAAAACATCAAAGATAAAAATTGAGGAAGAAAAATAACGAAATTGGGGGAACATAAGACTAAGAGCATTCACACAACAGAAGCTTACTGATCAGTCTCTCCATATTTATGATACAAATATCAAAAACATAATTATCTATTTCTGGTGATATACCTTGGTTATGACTAGGAATGATAGATGGAGGATGGGAATTAAAAGTTGGAAAGAATGAAAGATATGAAGTTCAGAGGATAGGAACAATGGGAATTTCAAAGACTGACAGGATGAGAGAAGGGAATTATGATTCTGAAAGAGTCAGACATGACAAGATAAGAATTACTCATGACAAGATCCTCCTTACGCGAAATGAGAAAAAAGTAAAGGAGAAGCCAAGAACCTCGAGAACCAGAGTCAAACTGTTCCATCTGCAATATGTTACTGATAGAACAGTATGATTCTGGACAAAAGACTAAGCTAAAGCTAATCTTCCTCGATGTCAGTCAGAAGTCAGACAGGCTGAGCTGAACACTTCAGGGAAACGGACTACTGATAGGCACAAGTGTGACAAGAGTTCACTGCCATAGACAGCCAAATCTGCTTCGAGACAATAAGGGAACCTTTGGCAGAAAATGCACAAGACACTGACAGATAAATTTTTGTGTGATTCCTATGCTGTTATCTCTGCACAGGAAGACGGATTAAAATCTTTTAAATCATTAAAAAAGAACAATGCAGAATTTGGTAAATAGAAAAAACAACATGTGCATGCATTTTTTCAATTATGAATAGGCAAGGAGAAGAGAGATGCAATCCGCAGATTCCAGTAATTGCTTATATATTTGCTAAAAAATAAAGCATGAGCAATAAAACACTTTCAAAGAGATGATTACCTTCTTGTGCATAGGTTGATACAGTCAATCTTTATGAAATGCTCCAGTTAATCAAGACTGACATGAATGTTCATGGAATTACAGGGGCACACGTTTATGTCATAGAATCTACGAACAAGCAAATGAGACGAAGAGTAGCCAGTGTCATAACTGATAAACCTGTAGCACGAGCGGTTGTAAGCAACAGACAACACCCTGATGATATAACGGATTCTTACCACTCAAGTCAAGGAAAAATAACAGAAGACTTCTCAAAATTTGGCCACAAATTCTTTTTTTTTTTTAACTTATGATACGCCTCAAACACAGGGATAAATCTATGGAAAGACTCCTGAAGTGCTGTCATTCGCACGTATGTCAAAAAAACATCCGTTATGATTTTGTCAGAAACTGCTAAAACTGTCACAGTTGAAGTACTGTAAAATCATTTACAATAGAGGTTGTTCAATGTTTGGTAACACTTCTACAGATTCAGTAGTTGTCTGGCAGATGTCAAAAGCAACAAACCATTGAACTCTTGCTTTGTTTAGAATGAGTGACAATTTTCTTTGGATCTTGGACATAATAGTTACTACTTAGCTAGCTTCACTGCACATGAAATGAAAGAGGCCAGAACAGGTCCATCCTCATGACACACAAAATTGGGACTTCCACTTCAATGGCTTCACCATTTACCTTTCTTACTCAAAATGATCCTTAACTCACTGACTACGGTTCCCGTCACAGGTACGGGGCGGGTGGCCGGTTCGCAGTTACGGATCCCGTACCCCCGACGGAATGGACTTTGCGATTTTGTTCCATATCTTGTGCTCCTGTCACATGTACGGGAATGGAGTCCAGGGCTAGTTTTGCCACTTGTTTCGTTTCGTGCCGAGTTTGGCGGAAGTTTCGTGGTAACTTTTCAAGTAATTGAAGGGGAAGGACAGTCACCTCATCTGGGGTTGACCTGACCGGAACTCGCGCTATGTTTTTTCTATACAGCTGATAGTAATCGACAGTCGCGTCGAAGTAATGGTTGCATGAACAAGAATCACATAATTTCACTGTTTTTGATACATCTGTTTGTTTTGCTAGTTCTAGTGACTCAGAATATGATGTGTCTGATAGTTAGGACCCTGGATATGTACCCGAACATGGCCCGATGTCATAGTTTTAGGGCTAGATCTAGCACTAGTACTGGTATTGTTGTTCGCGCGACGAAATTACAACTTCGTTTTCTACATCTGTCTCATGTAATTCAGTGTATGGGTCTGAATAAATGCACAGACCAGCTTATATATTTTCACCATACACTCACACATGGATACTTATCAAAACAGAACACTTTGAACCTTTATTTTTGTTGTTGTTATGAATTTCATTCTATCTGTCACGTCTCTGGAAATTTAAAAAAAAATCAAATTCATGCCAATTTTGAAACAATCATAAGAATTAAAGTATTAGACCTAGATCTAGACAACTGACATTTTTTGCAGGAGATTAAGTTTGAAAGAAACTTTACTGTGTCAAAAAATAATAATAGGGTAATTCTGAGAGTTGTGGTGGTGTTTTGAAATACCCCCCAAAAATGCCAGTACTCAGCGCTAGAGACCGGTGAAAGGGGCCAGTAGTCAGTGAGTTAAAACCTGAGCCTATATGGTATTCTCTGTTTTCGAATTAATTTAATCTTTTTTCAGGTGGCAACTGTTTTAAAGCAATACAGACTTGGTATGAATACTCCTGCTTCAGAAGTCTAGTAGCACATTTAGTTTTTTAAAAATATTTAAAATAATTAAAAGTATGTACAAAATCAGATGCAAAAGCATTGAGAATAATTTATAGTCAAAGACAACAGACGAAAGCATGCAACAAGCATTGTTAGTTACACAAACCAAAAGAATTACAACATCTGCATTTTAACAGAAAAGGTAGAAATAGCTAGATATTCTTGCAACAATATGAAATTGTCTTATTATTCATCATACATACAAGGCATACAAGGGACTGTATCTAGAGCAAACTCTCAGACACCCAACTACAAAAAAAGTGCCTTTTCTCCTTTTGCTCTTTAATGCAATAAAGCTCTGAGGTGCCAAGAACAGATGTTTATGCATCCATTAACATTAAACCAATTCCCACATGAAAAAAAAACTTTTGATGTGACTCCATATAAAAAATCAGAGTCACAGCAGCAGTCTTTCCATGTAGCAATATGGAGAACCCCTTAAATACTGATTTACACAACAGCAGACAACTGACAGAAGCATAACAATGCATTAGAGGCAAACCTTGATGCAAAAAATGCGAGCGCTTAACTGGCCAAGAAAAGCTACATATGTGCAGCACCTAACGAAAATCTGTATTCAACTTGGAAAATTAGAAACAATGATGTGGCTCATCTGATGGTATGATATACGTGAGCAACTGCACGATTCAAAAATAAAATCCGAAAAACATATCTGAACCATGGATGAGTATAAATGTTCTTTCCATGAGCAAACTGAGTCAAGTGATATAAATGTGTAAGTTATTGTTGAAAAAATTTATAATCTGAAATGTATTCATCTGGTCCTGTATGACATGCAAAATGCAATAACATTAAAAACAGGGAATTCCAAGATCAAACCACAACAATGCAACAGAAAGAGAAATGGACAATGTGCAGATTTCAGCAAATCTTAGTAGCAAAGGAAATCTTTAAAAAGATCTATAAAAATAAGCAAGAAGTCTGTTCTTCAAATACAGTATGACAATTGACACGATGACTGAAATCGCTTTCATTCTAAAAATGTCTTCAGGAAAAAAAGTTGCTTACGGACTCAGTCCCTTTGTATCAAATTGGTAACCAAAGTAAAGAATGAAATTCACTCACACTGAAATTAAACGTATTCCGAGACCAATATGCTGACAAAAGAAAACTTAAAGAGTCTGGGTCAGCTTGAGCATATCGCCAGTATAAGCCACAAACAAAATGGCTCCAGTGGTGCAAAAATAAAAAGAATGGCGGATTCGAGGTTTGTGAATGACACCAACGATTTGGTGGTGAACTTGTTATTGTATTCTCTGTTTGGGTAAGTTTTGAACTGGGACATAGAAGACCTCACATGTTTAAGCAACATCCAATAGTTATTACGCCAATGGATGTTCAACGAAAAGGGTGAAAAATCATAACAAAATCAGTTTCCTCTACACTTAGCTGCTATATATCACTGCCATTTCAAATCTTTCTAATACAAGGCATGTCTCATAATCTGGGTAATAAAACCATTTTCGATACATAAAGACTAGTAATGTAGTATTATACACAGCGCCACATACCGTAACAATGATAAAAAAAACAACAAACAGATTTCTTGGTTAACCACCCATTCCAAATAACAGTTGCACAATCACCATAGGACTGAAATAACTTATGTCTTTCACGATTCCTTGTTAAAAAAAGCTCTACATACATAGGGTTGGCAGCTATCTATATACTGTACAATATTGTGAGTAGGTGTTTGTGTGTTTGTGCTTGCATGTGTGTGTGTGTGTGTATGTGTGTGCGTTTGGTGTGTGTGTGTGTGTGTGTGTGTGTGTGTGTGTTTTTTCATGTTTGCATTTGCCAGTGCATGTTCCTCAATATGTGTGTGTGTGTGTGTGTGTGCGTGTGTGTGCGTGTGTGTGTGTCTTTGTGCAAGCGTGTCGGTAAAAATATATGTACAAGTCTGGTCGATCACTAAAACATGTCTCCCAAACTCTGCTGGGCTTGGATCAGGTTCTCCGCTCTCCGCCTCTGGCTACGGCGTAAAGCATCAGCTCTTCGGTATGGCTCATTCTTCAAATCTGTAGAGTAGGGATAAAAATAGGATTTGCCTTTTGCTATAATCACAGCAAGAAAGTGACTGGCTGCTGCACACTGGGCAACAGGAAAAAATGGTTTTATAACCCACCCCTGCCCTGGCTCTCTCAAGATTCCACAGGCCAGGACACTGGCTTTAAATATACAATGCACCCATCAAAGCCCTGGCCTCCATGACAAGTGGATCGTAATACCACATGCTGGTACTGCTCTGCAAGGTTTTAATCATGAAATGTTCTCAAATTATAGAATATCTCTCTCTCTCTCTCTCTGTCTGTCTGGCTCTGCTTCCCCCCCCCCCCAACCCTCATTTTGGGAGTGCTTATGCTATCAACCTAAATGTGATTGGATGGAATCGTGAAAGACTTTCACCACTCAATACAAGTCTTCATTCCATCCACTTAAATAGTGTGGTGTTGTAAGTCAATACTCCTGTGCATAAATTGAGTAACCAGTAGATTACAGATGCACATTTGTCCCAATACTCCACAACACAGACATTTTATGTTGCCTGGAGAAAACATGTCTTTAAAAAAAAACTTAGTCACTTAAAGGCGGTCTAATATTTCATTTTAATACATGTAAGTATTTTACAGCACTTGCGACACAATAAAGTCATATAAGTGAAGAAAATGAAGAGGTATTACAAGAGAGTAACAAATACAAAAAAAAGAAGGGAAATATGAATGATAGATGTTTGATAGGAAAGAAGGAGAAAACCACACCAGAGCACTCGTCAATCACCCATACCAATATTTCACAATACAAGTTGTACAATGAATCAGCAGAGTAATCATACTAAAACATTTATATGGCATAATCACTATCAATACTATCGTCAATTCATGAAATTCAAAATAAGGTTTACAAACACGGCAAGCTTATTAGGTTCTCCCAACACACTCAAATGAGACAGCAACGTCATCGTGTTGGGTGGGACAGCTCTGGACAAATGTTGACAGATGAAAAAAGATTGGGGCAGGGAAGGAAAGGGATCCGTGTCAAAACTGCTTGCCATGGGACCATTTGACTTGTCTTTGTTTTTGATGAAATGTCCACTGAACTCAACAGTTGTTGTTTTTTTAAAAATAAACTAACCAGCTCCAAAACCCGACATATAGAACAGAAAAATAGAAACATAGATAGGGAGTAAGAAAAAAACAACTGAAATGTTGAGTATCAATTTTAAACCTTTGAGATTATTTGACAAATCTAGTCATTTACAAGCAAACAGTTGCAGTTTCTTTGAGAACAAAAGTAAAAGAAAAATCTCCTATCTCGTACATTCAAAAGGTGACAAAGAGAAGCAGGGTGAGTACTTACCGAGGAGAATGTCCTCCAGAGCCCCATGGTACATGTCATCCTGCTTCAACAGACGTCGCTTCTCTTTGATCTCACGATTACGATTCTTCAGCTCTGACACCATTGCCTCCTACAAGAGAAACATTGAAAGTGAAATCAGTCTACAAATATCAAATAAGCAAACATTTTAAATAAAGTTTAGTGTTCTAAATTGACCTCAGTTTGAACATGCATAGACAAAAATGAAGATTGTGCTTTCCCCTCACCAAAATAGTACAATGTTTTTACACTGAGATCAGACTCTAGTGTTCTGTCAACACTTTAGGGACCACGGACATGACAAAATCCACTGGCTAAAGGAAACTAAAGCCCCCGCCCCATTCCACTTCAGAGAATCCTTTCACGTTTCAACAATACACTGAAAGTCTACCAGACCTGAACTGAAGCATACATGCTAAATGAACAAAATTTTGATGATAGGAATAATAAGCGTAAATTTATTTACTACAAATTAACAGTTCAGACATGGCAGCCAACCTCCTACTAGCATTTGATGCATAAGACAGGCACCTATTTTCATATAAGCAATGTATTTACAATCAAGAAAGCCGTATCTCACCTGAGTCATCTTCTTGTCCTTCTTCTTGACTGGCTTCACCTCTGGCTCCATCATGCCAGCGTCCAGCTTCTTCCTCCGCTCATTATCCAATATGGCTTGCTAAAGAACGGGAAAATAATAGAGGGGAAAAATGTCACGAGATACTAAATATTCAACCAGTATTTAACAGTTGGGCTTCTTCAAAATGTCCTGTAGGAATGGGAAAAAGAGAGAAGCCACAAAGCACACTGTCCTAGCCATAACCAGACAACTTATTTACTAAACATTCCATTCTATGGAAACTATGCACTTGAGCAGGCTCAAGTCATGATTGCTGAAACATTCCATTTGAAGTATGGTAAATTATTATAATGCCTTACCCCCTAAAAATGTGTCATGACACAATCGAATCAGGCGCTCATCAATTTTTGGGCATATGGAGTTATTGGCATCATTTTAAAGCTTGTTTTTTAAGCCTTGCTTTCGACAGGGGAAATACCCATCTGTTATGAATAGAAGTCGAGAAAAATGTATTTGAAGGAAGTATAGGTTACCTGATATCAGAGTTAAACTTAGTGAGAAAATGGACGTTACATAGCTTGAGAGTCCTTGGAAACTTTAATCAACCTTGTTCATTAAAATCCACGCAGAAATGTGTTTTTAAATGGACATAAAAGGTGTTGAGCCAAAAAAAGAAAAATCTGAAATTTTAAAAGAAAAATGCAGATTTCTTTGATTTCATTATTTTGACGAGCCCCTGATTCCACCACGATGACTCACAAATAGATCTTCCCCATTATTAAGTCAATGTACTTGGAAATAAAAGTCTTATTGAAATAAAAGCAGCTTTCAAATCTAATTTAGCACTTCACTTATGTCTACTAAAGAATCTCAACATTATGCATTTTCCACCTTCTAACAAGCTAGTATTCCATGCCACAATATAGCAAAACTCACCTTGAAGCTTGCCACAAATCGAACAAACTGTGAGAAAAACTGGGCAGGGGAGATGCTCCTGGGGTTCTCTCCATAGAACTCAACCACTTTTTTGTAGGCATCCTGATGAAAGACAGACGTGATAAGAATCCAATGTACATTCACTCCACAAAATATACAGTCACTGTCACAAGACTAAAGAACAACAGTTTTTTTTATTACTGCCCTGCAAATTAAAGAGTCCAACGGTGTTATTCTTTTTCCTTGAGTTGGCAATGAAGTTGCGAAGTGTACGCTATACATCAGAATTGGTAAAAATAGACTACATTAAATAATAAACTGACTGTCTAGAAAAAACAGTTTAGAAAAAGAGTTTTATGTTTCTGCACAATGAGTGCTTACATTTACATATTGCTGAACTATTAAAAAGTGAGCTTTAAACAGTTAGCAAGGAAACAAGGAAAAAACTGAACTTAAATTTAGATTTTTATAAAGCCTGCCACGCTCTGTCTTTCGGCAATGACAAAATTTCCCACGACCACATCCCTGTAAATTGCACTAGTTCCCTACCTGTGCAGTCTTGACATCTGCCAACAGCTTCTTGAACTTGTCCTCCGAATTGGAGAGGAAATCCTTGAGGATGACCGGGTGGTCTCGTGAGTCCTTTCTCAGCACAGACTCCCTCTTTGTGAGCTCCATGCCCCGCTCCAGCTCATGGATATCTGTGTTGATGTTCTCCATGGACACTGTGGAAATAAAACAAAATATCTAAATCACTACTGGCATTTAGCAGCCTTGCTGATACATATTATGATTACCGGTATTGGCTGTTCAGATGAATCATTATCAGTTGCATAGGAAGTCAACAGAGCAGTATATTTTCTAGACTTGACATAGAGGTCATAGCTCCTATTCCTAGCTAAACTGAACTTGATATTAGTGTCCTTACGAAAGGACACTAAAAGATTTTTAGGCAAGTACAGAACTTAGGAAAGGACACTAAAAGTTTGACCTCAAATTACCATAGTATGAACAAGCCACTCTCTTCAGCTTCAGGAGGGGATAAGACAGCCACAGTATCTGCCTCTAGTAAAAACGCAACCGAGCAACACAAACGATTCCAGCAACACATATAGAAAGGACAATAGAAGGGTTCACCTTGATACAGTGACTACATCACTTTATTCAATTCTAGGCAAACCCAGCCTTTGACCAAATTTTATATTACTAAAAAAACAACAACAGGGGAAACTCATTACCAGTTTTTAAAAATCCCTCCACTAGTCTAGGTGCACAAAGGAATTTATTACCAAAGTAAAAACTTTTAGCAGTGTTATAAAATATTAAGGAGAGGATATTTATCAAATCAGTAAAATCAGACATCGAACTGCAGCAGCCATTATAACAAACTGATATGATGAGAAGAATAAATCATGAACAAGCTTCAAATCAGCACTCACCAACTGCTGCCTTATCCAGGAATCGGAGCTCCGAGTCGAAATTGAGGAGGTCAGGGAATTTGTCCTGTACTGTGAGGACCAGGAAGTGCATTAGGGTAGACTTCTTGTCTCCCGACTTGGTGTCCACAAGCTGTAGGAGAAAACAACGGAAGAACGATGACATGCTGTTGAAGCACTTTTGAGACACAAGTAGTGTGCAGCAACTTCTAACATATACGATGTGGTGGAATCAGGCGCTCATCAATTTTTGGGAATGTGGAGTTATTGGTATAATCTTAAAGCCTCTACATTTACCTTGCTTTTGATTTAGAAATTATACATCTATCTTGAGTAGAAGATTGAATATTTGCGATTGAAGGAGGTGGGAGGTCCCCAGGTGTCAAACATAAAATTAACAAGAAAATGGCCGGCGAAGTATGGTGACTTTCAAAGCTCGGGTATCCTTGGAGACAAAAAAATTATATTTTTTGTGCCTTTCATCAACGGTTTTCAGAAAAATTCACATGACAATATCCTTTTGAATGATATAAAATGAGTTGAGCCAACAACAAAAAACAAAAAAAATTCGAAACAAAATTCCTAACAGTCAGAAAAATGCCCGTTTTTTTTTCTTATATCACTATTTTGACGAGCGCCTGATTTTCATATGATGCCCCACATATAATGTCATGGTGTGGCGTGGGTTTACAGAGCTTACCGCACCTTTTGAAACTTGATTAATAGACTGATTAGAAGACAATCACTCTGAAATAAGGTACATTAGCGACCGATTGTGGATTTGAAACAATTGCATGCATTAAGATCCGGTATGACATAAACAGACGTAGCACAGCACCACAACAACTTAACACCTTTATTCCACTCACACAAGTCAAATTTTTCAACAAGTGCAGTTACCTTTCAAACAAGTGCTCCTGTGAAAAGCAATAAATTCAACCACTACATCCTACATGTCTCAGCTCGATAGCACACAATTTTTAAAAAATGCAGTGGCTTTAATATGGGTGGTTTTCTGGAGAAAACAAGACATTACCATGTCCAAACTCTGTAATTTGAAGCCATACACAGCTCCTCTCTTATTGCTGTTCATGTAGTTTCCAAGAGCCAAAATGATCTGAGGGAAAGAAAATGATTTTGAAAATAAATGTGCAAAACCAGAACAATAAATTCAAGACTTTATTTTGCCTTTTAAGTTTAGGAAAAAGATAAACAGAAAAAAGGAACAAGACAGAAAAGAAAGTCATCTGTTCAATTTATCCACACTGTGCAAAGCATTCATCAAGACATGAAATATTCCTAAGAGGACCAAAATCACAACATAAATGAACATTGTAAATATTTTTTATTTTAAACGTTGACAGTTCAAATATTAACAATGTTACCTATTACTTTTCCCATTAGATTTTTTTCCGTAACAGAAATAGAAAAATGAGTAGGAGACAATAAAAAAGTACTAGTGATAAACATGAGAGTTTTACACCCAAAGACTCCCTGCCAAAGCACAAACAAAACTATCAAAATCAAATATATTCACTCACATTAAACCACAATAATGCAAAGTTTAACAAAGAAAACAAAAACCCAACTAGATTTTTAAAAAAATCCCATCCAATATTTCTACACCTCTAAACTGACTGTACTTACCTCCATTATTTTTCGGACTTTGTGTGAGTTTTTCAAAGACATAGATGCTGCTATGACTGCATTAATTTGCTGCAAAAACAAAACAAAAATATTTCTGTAAAGAAACGTTATGTCCCAACTGTGAAAACATTAAGTCAATGTAAAACCTTTTTTAGTCTTTGATCATCCAAACATGCAAAAGGTGAGAAAAAATTATCCAGGACAAAAGAAAAGCAATTGAACACACACAGTTCCGGTATCTTCCACAAAATAAAGAATTTCAACCAATCATAGACATTTCTCAGGGTTACACTGGCCCACATGAAAAGCAGCAACAATTAACACGTTTTGTTTTTTTTAAACAACATTTTAAATATTTTAGAGTATTTTGCTCTTTAACTAAAAAACTCCACATTTACACAAAGTAAAATTAACAACAACCAAACAAAACCCTCCAAATATTTTTCTCATTTAAAGGAAAACGACTTGTTCACATTTCACACAAAAAGAAAGTAACATGAAAAGAACATACGGGCTGTAGCTGGTGAAGGTTGTCATAGAAGTTTCCAATAAAGCTCATGATTTGCAGTTTTTGTGCCAGGCGCTCCACTTTCACCATCTGAAAAAGAGAAATTCAACATTGTCATTAACTGCACGTTAATCAAATTCATATTCAAAGCAACTGACAGATTATCAAAAGATCAAAAGTCATTTCGGGAGAGAAGAGAAAAACTCGAGGCCTAGATGCCAGGAAACAGTAACACAGTTCCAGAAACAAAGTTTCCAAGAATTCCTACACTTTATGTCTCCTTTCTCATTTCTAAAAGGGGAGGATGTAAAAAAACAACCCCACCTATGATTGCAAGAATAGAGTTGAATAGAACCCTTATTCCTTCTATGGCCTTTATGAGACCAAAACAGCCTTTTAAAATAGGACAATGATTCACTAACAAGCATGGCCCCTGTTTCCAAGGAAGAACATACAACTTTGAAACCCACCTTCATTTCATCTCCAACAACTCAAAGTATATAACTGATCGCAAAAAAAAATTACTAACCACAACTGTCGTAAGCTACATCAAGAAAAAGTAACTGAAATTATATCACTTGATGATGTCTTGCAGGCTGCGCAACTGAGAAACTGGGCTAAGTAAAAATGATCTACTAGGGGGCTGAATCCAAAGATAAAGAGATAAAGAGTAAAAAACAGTTTTGTTCTTTTACAATGAGTGCCTGTCAGCCACTTAACAAAACAGCAATCAAATCAAAGAACAGTCGCAATTACTGTAACAGCCATCTCTATAAGACAATAACCTGTTCAAACGCCCACTTCCCATTTCCCCTCATGAATTTTTTTTACAACAAAATGACACTATGTAAGACGTACATCTAAGACAACCACCTTTCTCCTCTGCAGTGGATGTCTGTCTTTGACAATTTCGAAAGCACTAACAGGGTCATAAACAAAAAGGAACAGTGTTTACCTGCAACATGAACTTGTCTTCATCAGACAGCAGTGTAACTGATTGTTTCTCCCTTTCAAACTTCTTGTAGGACTTCACCTGAGATGATTGAGAAAGAAGGTAAGCATGAACATAAATAGCAATGGTTCTGTCAAAATTAGGCAAACATACCTTAATCTGAGGAAACCGTATGTTATTTTTATAACAGAACTAAAAACTTTACATATATGCAACCTTCCTTAACCACACACACACACACCCAAGTTCCTAGACGAGAAACAATGTCACACGAGGTTTCGTACAAATTGTGATCATTACTATGAGCTTCAGACAAAGCAACAATACAAACTCACCTTAGGCGGAAAAGCAAAAACACACTCAGCAAGTCTCAGCATTGTGAAATAAACTGTCAACACTGTCACAATAACAAAAGCTTAATGAGGAGATCTATCAAGACATATCAATTACATTCATTTCATTTTTAAATTCAGAAGCAATAGTGAAATAATTTTTCGGTCGCAGTAAAACACACTTGACACTAAGTCAAACAAAAGCAAAAAAACAACTCACCTCAGGGTCATTTGGCAAAATGGTCATCATAATATCAACTATGTCTAAGGAGAGTCGTTTCAAGTCCAACCTGTTGAATAAAAGAAGATGAACAATGGCAGTGAATCTTTTAGTTTAGTTTTAGTGAGAGTTTTACAGCACTTGCAACACAATACGGTCATATAAGTGCAGAAGATTAGAGGTGTTACAAGAGAGTAACAAACAAAAAAGGAGAAAAGATAGAGAATGATAGATGCTTGATAGGAAAGAAGAAGCAAACCATTCCAGAGCACCCACCGACCACCCACAAGTCACTACCAATAATTACAGTTCATTAGTACAAAGTTCTAATGGAAAACACAGGAGAAGAACAGTCTTTACAAGTAACATGATTACAAGACTGAGCGTTAACAGCAACATTGCAAAAAGATACCTAGCTTTACTTTATTTAAATCAACACTAGAAACATAAAATTTACTTTCAACCATTACTGTATAGTATATACGGCACCAACAGGGTGAAAAGAGTATGGCATTTCATATGAAAATGGACGTACACTCATTAACCAAACAAAACGGACAATTCATTGAAAAATACATGGTATTATTACCCGTTGATACATTTCACAATTTCGTCATTTGATAGTTCTATCTTTCTCCTGGTGATAGCTGTGAAAAGAAAGGAAAAGAGTGGTCATTAGGAAAAACAAAAAGAAATTCAATGAACACAAAAACACGGACAAACCACTTTGAGAGACATTTAGTTCATCTTCACCTGAGAACTCTCTCTTATTCATCTTCATAATACCACATGAACATAGGTCGTTGAAATACACCCTACCCCACATTGTAGGAGACTTGTGTTGCAGGCACAAACAAAATGACAAAATATCCCCAAAATTAGGATTATTGGTATAATATGCTGTCCTGCTGTATTTTACAAAATACAGACCAACAAAAAGTCTTTATGAAGACAATGTCAATCACTGCTTCCCACCATTAACTTACCAACATTGCGTAGTCTGTTTGCGTCCAGCAGGGATATTGTCTCTGGTTTCTTGTTCTTCTTGAGCATCTTAGGCGTGCCGTCACCACTGGCAGCGAGAGGACCTGCTGGACCCAACCTGAACATGTCCTCAAACTCATTGAAGTCGATCACCTGTTACAAGGAGGATATGGAAAAAGAGATGAGCATTGGGTCAATACACAATCTGTTAACATTTTTTTAAAAAGAAGACGTTGCCATCCACTAGATATATTATAAGCCAAGGCTTAAGCTTCAGATTGTATCTGTCCTGCTTTGGACTCAGAACAAGGCCGAAAAGTCGGGAACAGATACTGCACTTCGATCTTAGCCAAAAGGCCAAGAAGTGATGGGTCAAAATACATACATCAAGGTCTCCACATGGATAAAACCTTCACTTAGACATCACTAAAAATAATTATGCAGGAAAAACCTTGAACTTAGGCCCATGTTTTTTCTGTGTGACTTCTATAAGTTCGTTGGGTTTCTTTGTTTTGTATTTCCAAAGTAATCATTTATGAAGTATTATTTCTTTGTTTTAATCAAAACCTTCCCTCACATTTCAAACTCTGCATTATACAATCTATATCAACTCAGACATGTAAGTGTATAAGAACTAATCACATAATAAAAACACATTTCTACAAAAGCATTTAAGCTCTTATAATACAATACACTAAGATAAAAATAGCAAAGGCTGAATCCTTTAGAATGACAGAAAGAACACAACGTGTACGAAAAGAAAATCTCAAACAGATCATTTGTATATCCCTTCTGAATTCTAAACACTGATGATACAATCATTGTCTGGTCACGGGCAGAGGAAAGACAGAGAAACAACAGTGTCGTAAGAAAAAAGTAAGACTTACCAGTAGCACCTCTACAACCACCCTAACACACACACATTAATGACCAGCGGTTACTGGAGAAACAGTAAGTAAACAATATAGAAGTACATAAAGAAGTAAGGCTTATTCAGGTAACACCTCCCCCAAGTCTTAAAAAATGTAGATATTTTTATGCCCCCATCAACATAATTTAGATCATATAAGAGGCAGGCTTCCGACCCTGCCTGTTAGGGCCAAACAGGGGATACAACATCCCAGCACAAAGACCAAGAAACTCGACAAAATTTCTAATTGAAAATTGTAACTCATTCTCCAGCATGTGAAAGCAAAGCACTTATCACTTCACCACACACACACCAGTGCCTCGAAGCAGGAATAATTATTCTACACAAAACATACTGGGAAACCTTGGGGTCAATAAATCTGCATAAACTACTCCCTACAACCCTTGGCTAATGCATCTGCAGAAAGTACTCACTGTGTACAGCTTCTCATCATCCAAGTCGGAGAAGATAGTTCCCTTGAGCTGCTGAGGCTTGAGTGGGGTCCAGTTCAGGATGGGCAGTCGGTATTTGGTCTGAATCTTCTTCTTGATGGTCATTGCTAAACACAAAATTATCCAAAAAATCCACATTATAAAAAAAATCAGCACGACATTCAAATTAAAAGAAAAACTCATACATCATTTTTTCCTAAAAATAGAAATACTACATAAAACTGTATTTCTACATACATTCTAATTTTTCTTGTGATGGCAATAATACAGAGGAAATATAAACTGTCAGTTGCTTTGACTATGAAAAGTGAAAAGAGTACCCCATACTGTCATAAGTGCCTTACTGGTAATCATCGCTCTAGTCACTGTCGATGGTAGCCTCAGTGTAAGACACACGACAACATAAATTTATTGTTAGCAGTGAGGGAGGGAGCGAATGAGTATGAGTTAAAGAGGGAGAATGCAATATGAGCTTGTGTTTGCATATTTTGTTGCAGAAGATGAGGACAGCATATCATTGAATTTTCCAATGAAAAATCTATAAGGTACATCTAATTTTATCATTTTATCTCATACTTCAGAAAGGGAGACTCACCATCCATTGAAGGAATGCCAGAACCAGGTGGAGGAGGCGGGGGAGGGGGAGGAGCTGCCACAGGGGAATTTGGGGTCTTGACAGGGGAGCCTTCCTGAGAGCCGCTACTTCCTGAAAAGGACAAAAAGAAAACAGTGGGAAACTATTAGCACATTATTATGCAGAATTTATCAGAAAAAATTCACCAGAAAACAAAAGAAAGACTGAAATTCAAAAAGTTCAAGCGTTCACAGCATTATCTTCATGAAGGAAGCAAAGGTGTAAAAGTGTAGAATGTGATTCATATTATGTGAAACAGATGTTAAAGTGCTTGATGCTGGGAAAACAATTTAACTCCGGCAATTCAAATGGAACATAAGAACAATAGTAAATCTGAAAAAAAAAAGAGTACAGCAGTCTATATAAGCCGGTCCATCTCCCACTAGTCAGACAAAATTCATAAACTGGCTGTGCAACCTGAACATCACATGACACTTCCGACATAATAAATGAACGCTTTATCCCAAAAATTTCGTTGCGTCAATAGTACTCTTTCAGTGGAGTAGGAATACCCACCAGGTAGAGACTTCAAGGTTTCCAACTCTAACAGCTTGGCATCCAGCATACTCAGCCGCTTCCTTGACTCCTCATCCTTCTCAAACATTGTCTTCCTCAGCAAGCCCATCTCCATGTCCTGCTTCGCAACCACTTCCTGTAAGCAGAGATAGTAACGTGTGATTTTGATTTACTTCAGATGGGAGTCCAGGTGTTACAGCATAAACAAGATATTCAGAAGTTACGAGAAAGCAAATAAAGAAAGTTATAGTACAGAAGTACATTTGGAAGGAGCAAATCAAACCACAGCAAATGCGCCTGCCACGCAACTTTGAAACAATTCATACTCAGAGGCAATATCCCCCCCCCCCCCCCCCCCCCCCCATACACACACACACACACAAATATACAACTCAATAAGCACATAACACCGTCTCTGTCATTCCCCACACTCAAAACCAAAATTCATTCTGATTCTGGAATAGTGGAAGGGTCTAACCAAAAACAGATGTCATATTTTCTTTATTCCATACGGCAAAAAAGAGAGACTATGCAAGTTTATTGTAAACAAAGAAGTAAAAATAACAATGATAAGCTCTTGTCATACTGTGGAATTTTTCATATTTAGAGTCAAAATGTTCTCGGCTGTTTGAGAAATGCATTCTGTGAACATATGTACATGTTCACAGACAATCAAGTTTCAGACCAATTTCAAGAAAGTGTAATAAATATTGGAAAGAGGAAAGGTAAAAAAAAACTTACCCTTAGTTCTTCAAGTTCTGTGTTTGCTTCAGATAACTGTTTCTCCAACTCCACTGTGGACAGAAGAACACCAGAGTCTCATCACACACATTGATACAATGTCAGCTGAGACAACAATTTCTAAAAAGTCAAACCAACTTCCCCATCTGAGCAGCATAGGAGCACAATCTGCTATCATTAGGGAAGTGGTGTGAGTATTAAGCTGTACTGGAATTTTACTCTCTCAAGGAGTGGCCAGAAATAAATATTTACTTTTTGAAAGCTGGACCTTCGACAACAAGGCATTAAAGCTCATTTAACCTTAAATCATTAAACAGACCGCACTCACACGAGTCTAAAATACTTGGTTCTTTTTTCCCGTAAACATAATTTTCCCTCATACCCTTTTACTAGTGGACAGGTCCTATTTTCCGTACTCTTTCAAGATTTATGTTGCGTCAACTAAAAATCCTAATATGTTGTATCACCAGCCTATGACAAACAAGTCAACAGTGAAGAAAGTCTGAATCAAACTGGCAAAAAATATTGAAGTCTAAAATAAAAAATTGAGACAAAACTGACTTCACAATGATTCTCATGACCAGCTAGTTGTTTTCAAAGTTTATTTCAGTCTCCCAGGGGATATACAGCAGGGTGGCTATTTATGCAAACACCACTATTATTTTCATCTGTTCTTTACTCAACATCATTTACACACATGAAAATTTCACAGTCATCTGACTGAGCTTCACAGAACTTTTCACCCACCGTCTTCAGCAATAAAATCTGTGAACACATAAAGCCACATAAACCTAACACACCTGTTTTGGTCATGGCCTCTTCTTCTACCTCGGCCAGGCGCTCTGTCACGTGTGACAAGTCATCTTCCAGCTCCGCTACCTTCTCCAGGGCATCGGTCTTTGTCTCTGAGTCTTCCAGGAGCTGAGCCACATCTATCATGTTATCCACATACGCATGGACTTGTACGGCCAGACGGTCACTCTCTGTATTGCGCAGTTTCTGAGAACAGACACAGGTTAATAGACCTCATAATGAGAGAAATGCAACACAGTAATGTTCATTTAGTGCAAGATAGTCAGAAAGATAAGAGGGAAAGGAAAAAAATAAAAGCACTTAGTGGTACCTTTTAACCAAATCTACACCGAAAAATTGATATAAATAACAAACGTTTGGATAGATTCAAGACAAAAATACATGAACAGTTGATGAATTTAAAAGAGCACGTAATTGTTAAGTCTTCAAACACAGAAGATTTTTCTTTCCGTAAAATTAACATTGCAAAATACAAAAAACCAACTTACAGCAAGATAGTCATCCAGGCCAATGTTTGTACATTCATGTTGAAGATGGACACGGAAATTCATATTTTCGACAGAGTGGACAACAATATTGATGAACTGCATACAGGCAACCTGAAAAAAGACAAGAATAAATTGGTGTTGCAGTATCACATACACATACAGGAAAGCAGTTTATCTTTTTTTTAAAACCAGGAAAATTACTACAAGAAATGTAGATAAAGTTGTCATACTAAATAAACATGCAAGAAACTGTTTGTGGTTATAATCCAGTTGTCTTTTATTTTTCCTTTCCTTTAAAAAATTTTAATCCTTCCGTAACATGCAATACCTAAAGTACTCAGGAAGGATCTGTAGCATATCTTAATGTGACTCATTTTTAAAATCTCATTTATCCATTACTATAATAATAAATGATCATCTGGCAGCTCATATTCACAGACCAGAGAACAAAAATACTTTTCAAACTGTTAAAGAAATGAAACTTTTAAGAATGTTAAAGAATTCCTAGGCATAAATCTACTATCCCCGGAAAAATCTTGAGAAGTGACAAGACTTAAAGGACTGAAAGGAAACCAGAAAATTACAGGCTGGATATAGGAAAGGGAGATCATGTACAGACCAGATTGTAACTTTAAAGATGAATAGTGAAAGTCCATTGAGAAAAACCTGTATGTCAACTTTCTGAAATTGGAGAAAGTGATTTTTACAGCTAGGACATAAGAAATTTGAACAATACACATCTTTGGGAGAGGGAGGGAAATAGAGAAGGG